AGCCGATCGCCGAGCTGGGGGACCTGCGTGGGTGAGGCTTGCGTGCTTACGCAGCGTAAGAGCTCTGTCCCGGAAGCTTTCTTCGTGGCCGTGGTAACGAGGTCTCCTGTAGGTGGCAATGCCCAGTTTGTGCTGGCGCGTAACTTGATAGTTTTGCGTCCGCGTGTCTGAAAAGGTCAAGACTGGAGGTTTTGCGCTTTATTTTGCGCTGTGGCTGCGGCATGTGTGCGCCTGCGCTGCAACAGGGTTCGAGAAGCGGCTCCTGAGACCTCCTTGCTGCGCGGCTCTTGCTTACTCTTGACGGAAATCTAATAGGATGCATCTGAACTTTCTAGATAAATAACTTTATGACAAAACGAAGCCGCTCAATTCAGAACATAAAGTTCCACATTGCGGGGAAACATTCGATAATTGCGTGATTGCATGGATGTTTCTTTTTTACTTAACCAATAAGGAGTGTCTCCTTTACCTCTTGTGTCACTTCGGCCACTTTAGCTAGAAATCAACGCTATCTGACAGCACTTCTCTGAAGACTCTTTGATAACATGATAAAAGACATCCACAGTGAGCAGATGGGGATAGTGTGGAGGAGATTAAGCTACAAATGCCGTTTCGTAAATCGAAATGGAAAAATTGTAAAGAGATTTTTGCTATAGGGTGCCTACGCTCGACAGAGACAGAAAACAAGAAGCCCCACCTCCCCCACCCCCTACCTCCCGGGACGGCCACGCTGCAATCCCTTCTCCATTCTCCTCTCGGGGTTTTGGGCACGCGAGCATACTGCCCAGCCGCCAGGTCTGAGACTCAGAACACGGCAACTACGTGGGAATCTAGCGATGTAAACTTTACACCACCTGCTGGTCCCCATAGAAATTTTGAATTGCCCACAAGTAGGCCCGGTTTGCTAGGGACTGGGCAAAAGTGTAGCACTGAGTCCTCCGGGGCAGAGATCATAAGGTTACCAGTCCACAGTGGGTGTCAGGGTCCTGAAGGGACTCTGTCCTTTCTGTCGCAGTGCCATCTGCTGGCCGCAGCCTGCTGGCTACTCAGAAGAAAAGCTGCTAAAGCTGCAAGCTGGAGTGGAAAAACAAGCCAAAGATGTCTGATAGAGAACAGACTTACTGAGAAAAGAAACATAAATGCAGACTTTTTTTTTTTTAAGATATGGAAGATATACAGGACAAAAACCTAAGACAAGACCAGGCAACCACTCAGGTTACACGTATGTGCGTATACTCTCAGACAAACCCCGGTGCCCAAAAGAATTGCTGGGGAACACTTGAATACAAAACATTGATGCAGATGATAGGGCATCGCAATGACAGGCTGGGGACACATGGAAGGTCCAGGTTGGTGTCTTTAACCAACATAAAACAGGTGGGGTGCCTTAGGCAAAGTCTAACTAGGAGGAGATGGTGGCAGGGGATTGGAAGGCCTTGTCAAAACAAAACAAAACTTCTCTTTTTCATAAAACAAAATATCCCCAAATTTTGAACCTTTTAGTAACTGTTTAAAACAGCAGCAACACTAGCATCATTACTAGCAAGTAAGTGTCCAACCCCTGTAGGAAGACTGGCTGAAGACCCAAAGTCATTCCAACTAGGTCCTAAACAAATTCATGTTCACTAATTTAGAATGAGTCCTGTAGCATATATACATTTTTAAAAAATAATTGTTTAATTTTTTTTAATTATTATTTTTAAAATTTGCTATAGCGTACATGCACTCACCAGAGAGAGAGACAGAAAAAGAGAGAGAGAGAGAGAGAGAGAGAGAGAGAGGGAAAGTGAGAAAGCAAGCTGGCAGATCCAGGATTCAGTCTGTGGTTGGTAATGTGGGATTCCAGTCCCTTACCTACCATGCTACCTTCTAGTCCCAGCCTATATCCATCCTTTAAAAATCCCATACTACTTGCTATGGGCTTATACTATCCTCGCCGACATGCTTCTAATAGATTGTTCTCTCTATTCAGGTTCTCCCACCTTATATAAATGTTTCTAAGATACCCCCACCATTTCCCCCTTCTCATTATTAACTTGATTGGTGACACACTCTCCTCTCTGGCTTCGACTAGCGCCCCAATCAGAGTTTATAATTCAATGTATTATCTATGTTCTGACACTACATATCTTTCTTTCTTCCTTTTTTTTTTTTTGGAGGGGTCAAAGGAACTTTTTTTTAAAATTTTCCCACAAACATTTACTTTACATATCAAAAACTTTTTGCTCATATTCCATAGGTCTTCACAGTTAATAAACAACTTTCAAAATTTTACAAAACTGAATTTTAAAGATAATTTTCAAAACGTTTGTTATAATTTTGTTTGTGACTCTATAAAAACAGAGACAGTATGGTTTTAAATTTTTCTGAGAAAATATTTACATGTCAACTACTCAAGCTATTGAGAAGCCAACACCCAGCACACAATTCACACACGAACCTTCCCAACTCAGTTCTGCCTACCAAGTATTCTGTGGTTTACCACCTGCTAGGAAAGATCAGTCTCTTTTTCTTCCTTCAAAGTCCTCAAGGTGATCCACTGGTCGTGGCTGCCTTTTTGCACTCTCTCCTGATTATGTTGCTGCCAGCCCTATATAGCCCTACATTTTAACAGATACCCTCCGACATATGAAATGTTTAAAGCCAAACCCGTTTCTCTCCGATTTCCCAGCTTTTTTTTTTTTTTTTTTTTTTTTTTTTGGGGGGGGTTTTTCTTTAAGGGATTGTGCGCCCCAATCTCTTCTCCTCCATTCTCCTCTCAGGATCTTGGGGCTCGCCAGACAGACAGAGACAGAGAGACAGAAAGCGAGAAATCACCCCCCAGGGGGGATGGCCACACCACAATCTCTTCTCCTCCATTCTCCTCTCAGGATCTTGGGCACGCACGCACACGCACCTGGCGTGAGTTTAAGCCACCGGGTCTGGAACTCAAACTACGGTCAGCTATATGGGAGTCCAGTGACATAGCCATTGTGCCAACTGCTGGTCCCTAATTTCCCAGCTTTGATGATTAATATTCCTTTTCTCTAATGGCTAAGTTTAAAATTTATAAATAATTTTTGGATCAAGTTCTTTTCAAAATGTCATTCAGATTGCTCCCTCTTTAGTCCTGTAGCCACTGCTGTATTTAGTTCACAATTTCAGTCATCTTTCGGTATTACTTAAATCCTCACAAAAATGTAACCTTAACATCTTAGTAACATTTTGATATTCTCAAAGCAAACACACTTTTATCATCTCATCTGACTTATCCTCACAATTACCTTATTACCTCTGATTTGGAAATAAGGAAACTGAAGTTTAAGATAAGGACTGCCCAGGATCACACTCACAATAATTCTGGTCTTCTGAACTCAGGACTAGAAAATCTTACTTCATCCAAAGAACAAAGTCCATGACCCAAAACTTTCTGTGGTCTCTCTCTTTTTTTTTTTTTTAATTAATTGATTGATGGATTGATTCGTTTAGAGAAATTTTTGCTATAGGGTGCATGGGCTTGCTGGAGAGACAGAGACAGAGAGACAGATAGCAAGAAATCACCCCCCCGAGGGGATGGACACACCACAGCCCCTTCTCCATTCTCCTCTTGCAACCTTGGGCACACGCACGCATGCACCTGGCATGAGTTTTAAGCCGCCGGGTCCAGGACTCAAACTGTAGTCAACTACATGAGAATCCAGCAATGTACCCATTATGTCATCTACTGGTGCCTCTGTGGTCTCTTTTAATAATAAGGGTGTGTAGAGCTAAGAATTTACCCATTAACAAGGATATTTCTTTTCTATTTTATATTGTCTTTTAAACTTATGAAATACAATAAAATGTATCAAGTAGTATTCTTTCAAAGAAAAAAAAAATCTTACTCCAAACCACAACTGTTGTTTCCTTTGACAGCAACCACCACATGCTGAATAACACCCGATTCCTTAGCATGCCGTCTAGGCCTTCCAGTATCCTTTCCATTGTCGCTGATTATGGACTTTAAGCTTCAGCTGTGAAAAGACTGTGAAAAGAACCGTATTCTTCACATACAGTTTTGCTTTCTTATATTTGCTCATGCCATTCACTTTTCTGGAAATAGCTGTCTCTCTTTTATTCTTTTTTTTTAAATTTATTTTTATTTTTATTTTTGCTATAGAGTGTGTGTGCTCACCAGAGAGACAGAGACACAGAGAGACAGAGAAGGAGAGGAGAAGAAGGAGAATGCACTCCCCATGGGGAATAGCAATGTGATAATCCCTTCTCCTCCATCTATTTCTTAGGCTTCCTCAGGGGCATGCACACACATATACCCAAAATGTTTCTTTTTCTTTTTTATTTTTTGGAGAGGCATTTGCTATAGGGTATGTGTGCTAACCAGAAAAACAGAGAGAGAAAGCGAGAAATCACCCCCCAGGGGCATGGCCATGCTGCAATCCCATCTTCTTCATTCTCCTCTTAGGATCTTGGGCATGTATGCACACGTGCCTGGTGTGAGTTTAAGCCACTGGGTCCAGGACTCGAACAGTGGTCAACTACATGGGAGTCCAGTGACATAACCATTATGCCAACTGCTGGTCCTTGCCCATAGTGTTTTTTAAGCTACTGGTTCTGAGACTTGAACCCTGCGGTCGGCTACACAGGATCCAGCTGTTTTAACCATCAGGCCACGGATCCAGGCTTCTCCTCTTTTTTTTTTTTTCTTTTTTATTATTGGGTTGTTGGAAAAGTCTTGGTATTTGCCCATGTTTTTCTGTGCAAAATGCATCATGACTTTTCTGACGACCCAATAGATAAGAACCTTTCCAATTTCTGTTATGCTCTGAAAGATGTCTTTCCACTTCTGTCAGTCTCGGAGATTAAAGTATAAGGATAAAGAAATCAAAGCTGAAGAACTAGGAAGAGTGATTAATTGACACATTTCTTTCTCTTTT